CCCGATGTGATGGTTTTTGGCTTTCAAGAGCTTGATCTATCCACGGAAGCTCTCATATACTCAACCAGCACAACGAGAGAAGACGCGTGGTGTATGGCTATCTTCGCCGCTTTGGGAGAGAAAGGCGAACTATATGAGAAGGTAAGTACCGATCTTGTCTCATACTGATGGTCCTTCGGACTTATGACTGTTCTCGTCGGTAATTATAGCTGGCATCCAAACAGCTCGTGGGCATGCTAATCGTGATCGTAGTCAAGTCGTCATTGAGAAGCTGTTTCTCCAACATCATGACTTCCTCGGCTGGTGTCGGGATAATGGGTATCATGGTGTGTATCATGTATGTACTTCAAGGGTATCCCAGAGTTGACTGTTCTTCAGGGCAATAAAGGTGGTACTGCAATTCGACTCACGTTTACCCCACCTCCATCCGGTACGCTCCACTCGGAAAACAACAGCGGCACTTCATCGGAGGATGCGCACAAAAACCCAATTCATCATATCGTTTCCGAAACCCGGAAAAAAGTATCAGAAAGCCTCCGTCACGTTGAAAGTCACTCCGAGAAATCTGTAGTGTCCGGATCGACAGATGACCATGACGTCATGGCTCCAGGTCCCACTACACTGACATTTGTATGTTCACATTTGGCAGCGTTCGATGAAATGGTGGATAAACGAAATTCGGATTATCAAGATCTGACGAAGAGATTATTGTTTTTGGAGACCTTGCCTTCTAATGCAGAAGCGGAGAACATTCCTCATGGTCCGGGAGTCAGGGCACCGACAAGGTCAGCAAGTACTGGTAGCGGGGTGTCTTTCGATGGCAACGCCAATGTTGTACCAGCTCGGCGTTCGACACAATATTCACCTAATGCTGCGACCACACCGACCTTGGAAAGGTATAATGTTTTTGAGACTGACGTTTTATTCTGGATGGTAAGAACTCTCTTACTTCCTTAAGTTACATATGGTTGACCTATGTTCCTCAGGGTGGTGAGTGGAACTCGATTGAAGTTGCCTTGCGTGGGCGTGGCCCAGTGCTATCGGATGTTAATCGCGGTTCTAGATTTAAACTACCGGATAGACCTACCCGATTCAGATGTAAGGGCTGTACTTGCCTCTGAGCATTGGGATAACAAGTTCGATGCTTTGCTAAAGTACGATCAGGTGAAGCATCCTTTAATTTCAGTTATGTGTTCTTAATATCTATATGTTACTTTTTCCGCCAGTTGAAACACTCGATACAGAACAAGAAAGCGTTTGATGTGTTCTCGGAGCATCCTATTACACACCTTCCGTAAGTTTTTTGATGACTTTGGACCCTCGGAATCACCGTGACATGTCCACCAGAACATACCGATTCAGTGGCGGAATCGTAGCGGACGGGTTGGGGTACGATACCAAGTGCGGCTTTTTATCTCTTCACTTGATTTCTTATTGACGGACCTTTCGTAGACGCAAGCCGGCATGGACGGACCGTGTCCTTTATGCACATTCCCCACTTACGAGTTCCATCCACCAACTGTCATATTCTGGTCATCAAGAAATAACCTTGAGCGATCATAAGCCGGTCTCTGCAGATTTTGGCGTCGATGTGAGTTTACCTTATTAAATAGATGAATCTCGTTTTGAAACGGGTGACAAGGTTGATATTTATGACGAGAACGATCTCTCCGGGACGGCGAGGCATCTATTTAGACAGCTGCGCGGAATGGAAGAGAACCAGTCAAGAGTAAAGACGGAATTAAGTCACACGACAATCGAGATTGGTGAAATCAGGTTTGTCCACTCCCTGAGTGCTATTCCGCTTCACTAATGTGCTTTGTCAAGTTATCGACAGCTGGTCAAACGGACGTTTACGATACATAACACGGGCAAGGTAGGGTTGGAAATAGTCTCGCGTGTCCTTGGATCCGTTTGTTCAATGGTTTCTTCTACTTAGGTTGCTTCCGCCTTTCGATTTGTACCCATTGATGTGGGCAGCGAACTCCGTAAAAGCCTTTTTCGCGAGAAGCCGTCACTGTGTCACTCATCAATTTCACATCTCGTTGTGTAGATCCCAAGTGGTTGAATGTGTCACCGGTAACGGTACGGCGTAGCTCACAGCTGTCCTCGTGTCTCAAGTTAAGACTCTTTCAGGGCTTACTACTTCCCAACGAGGTGGCGGAAATCATTCTTTCCGTATTTGTTGATGACCGGACCGCGTCCAAGCTCAATCTAGGCCCAAAGAACTTGGATTGTACGCTCATAATGCATACATTACTCGGGAAGGACCATTTTATCACGATATCTGGACAATACCGTGAGCAAATCGCGCAGTATTGTGTGATCGATCACAAAAGCTTTCCATTGACCCTGACTACCTTCCACAGAATATACCTGTTTTGCAAACAAACTCTCTAGATTGACCAGACTTCCCGGCCCAATTCGTTCATTGGCAGGACCTCAGGACCTTTTGCATGAAGATCGGGCTATCAATGCCCCTCGAGAGATAATGCGTCTGGTTAATTGGATGATGACAGATGGTAGTCATGCCGTGGTAAGTGCCAGTTTGAGTACTTGCTCCGTCACTGATTGGGCTGAATGTGAACTCTTCCAGGAGGATATCTTTGTATTGGACGCCGATGAACACATCGAACACCAAATCAGAGAGGTTAATTCCGCCGTTAAGCCTTTCGCCTGTTGACTGAATCGAACTACGCTCCTTCGTGTAGTCGTTGGATACCGGCAACGAGTTTCCATTTCCGACTGAGCAGAAGGATAGCGCGACTCTTATTGCTTTTGGAGAAACCCTCTTCCGACTGTTATCGTCCTTACCTGAGGGAATCATCCCAGAGGCTCTACACAGTCGATGCGGGCAAGTAACCAGTCGAGATGAGGCCTTTGAGGTGAGATTTCCCCAGGGCTCAGGTATCCGCATGTTGACACTTTCCCTAGATTCTGGATGCTCTGTCGCCTGCGGCTGTCAATGTAAGATGCCTGGAGAAAAAGGAAAAATGATGTCATGCTAATAACTCGGGGCCTTAGGTCTGGATATCGGTGACAGCCTTTCTTCATTTCATCGTTCAGTCTTCCTCCCAGCCAGATCTGAGGGCGGAGAGGATCGGTAAGTTGGATGTTATTGCTTCGATAATCCATAATTGACGTATTGTTCCAGCTTCACGATTCGCACCAATACTCTTTCGCGATGGTTATGAAGCGTCGTTATCGATATCACCATTGATGACTCATCGTTTCCTACTTCATTTTATCCAATAAGCTGGATTTATCAGTACTTCATACGACACTAAATATCGCTTTGATTTCACTTCTAACTATCATGTGCGCTAAGCAAACATCTTCTTGAAGGCCTTCTTTTCTTTCTCTCGCTTTTCTTTCTTGCGTTGCTTCACTTTGGCGAGCTCTCCTGCTATGGCTTGGTCTTCGGGAACGAGTTTGCTTGCTTGGGTCAAGTCCTTCTCGGCGGCGTCGTCATCTTTGGTGATGACGTGGGCTAGAGCTCGACGGTAGAGTGCTTTCGCTGAGTTGGACAATAAGTATATCGAGGAAAATTGGTTTGCAGACGAACTCACCCTTGTCAGAATCGCTAAGCTCCAAAAAATCGAGGGCGCGTGTAGCGCTCTTGATCGCTATGTCGGCATTATGCGAGTCAGGAGGTTGAATGCGTATGCTTGCCAACGCAGAGTTAAGTAGCAAAGGAGCAAGTAACGTTTTATATGATTGCTTCAACTCTTCGGAGGCATCTTCAGGCAAGTTGTGGTGAACATCCAGGTAACGGATGGATTCTGTATCGGTTAAGCGTTGACTGAGCGAATGATCGAAAAAGCAATTCGACATGAACATACTTTGGTATTTCGACAATGCGAGGTCCGGTTTACCCTCCTTGAATAACTTATTCCCGATTTCTCGTATTTTGGTTGCGATTTCAAGGGCGACCTCCGGTTTGGCGATATCGTGGTCATCATCGTCTGGGTAGTCTTCGTACGGGTCACCGTCAGTGCCGGTAGGCTCAGCGGTCAGCGATGGATCGTCCGGTGAGAGGACACCACAGTCGTCGATGATGATCGGTTGAGCCGGAGTGTCTCCACCGCTCGTGGGGAAGTTCTCAATTTGACGAACTAAGGAATTGAAAAGAAATTTTCCGTTTAGCATGGTCGGGTTTCTCGAAAGATCGTACACTTTGGTAGTCCTTACCGATAGATTTTCCTTTGATTACTTCTCCGAAAACAACGTGTTTCCCGTCGAGATGGGGCGTAGGAACTGTGGTGATGAAGAACTGGGAACCGTTTGTGTTTGGACCGGCATTGGCCATCGAAAGTAAAAACGGCTTGGTGTGCTTCTCGGGAAACGCTTCGTCCTCGAATTTCTCTCCGTAAATTGATTCGCCCCCAGTTCCTGACCGACGATAACGCGTCAGATCGTGTATATGAGAGAATATTCTTTTCCATTCGCACCATTTCCAGCGGTGAAATCACCACCCTGACACATGAACCTATCAACCGATTCCAATCGCGCTCCAGAAAAACCGATTCCTCCAAACTTGATTAAGGGCGATAGAAATACTTACGACTTGATTACACGATGGAAACCGGACCCCTTATAGTGAAGAGGCTTTCCTGAGTTGCCTATCCCTTTTTCACCCGTACATAACGCGCCTTTAGATGAAATTCGTTCAGTGAGCTGCATTGACCATGAATTCAAAGGGAGATATGTAAACTCATGACTCACGGAAGTTTTCAGCTGTTTTGGGCACGAGGTCTGAGTAGAGCGAGAAAATGATTCTACCAACAGGGTTTCCACCTATCGATATGTCGAAAAACGTTATAGGACGTTCCGAGGAAGACATGACTGGGTTTCTTGGGGATCAGGACGGCAAAATAAAGAGTGATTTACGTAATGACACTGCCACTTGCGAGATTCGCGAACTTTCCAGAATTTTCCATCACACGTGTTTACTGCAAAAAATGGCTTTGTCGACATCTCAGAAAGAGACTACATGGCTATGGCCAACGTGGGGATCGAACCCAAGACCTTCGCGTAATATATCTGAATATATTAGCACGACGCTCTAACCAACTGAGCTAGTCGGCCATTAAGAGGAGCAAAGTTGAACTATCTATCTAGTCAAAATACAGCTCGTAAATCTACAACACAATATTATCGGGTACTTTCCCTCTCAGTACTTTTCCTATACGTGAGACAGCTTGATATCCTTTTTGCCTGGGACCGACACATATCCCATACTCTACGGCAATTAGGATGAATCCAACTACCAATGCCACAAGTGCAGCAAGGACAAGCCAAGTCACGTTACCCCACTCTGTGTGGACTTTCAGCTTGCTCAACTCCTTGGCTACGAAGCCGAAAAGGTGCCATATCGACGATCCATGCGACAAGAGTGACTACCATCGCTAGGCCTTAAGGACGATCAGATCAGATGCATTGGATTGGCGTTCGGACTAGGACCCACCAAGAAAGACTGCCATCAAGACTGTCCCGAAATCAAAAAGCTGCGTAACAAAAGTCCCAGATAATATCGAAAGCCCTCAGAGACCAGCAGCTGCAGTAAAGAATCGGTTTTGAGAGTCGAGACATTGGAATTGTGAACTTACCTAGAGGATGAAGTATCATTACTTTTGACGAGGATTCCAAACGCTCTGATGTTGCATTGATTGTGGTTGAAGTATCACTGGTAGAGCTGCCGAAGCACACCCGGATGTCGAACAAAACTCACTTTATTCCCAACGTCCACAAATCAAGATCTTGATATCCAATGCTCGCGTTTGAGTGTGTATACCCGAAAGTTCCGAAGCGTATTGTGGTCGAGTTGAAAGTTTTGGTGCCAGCCTCCATGAAGAATACGTTGTCCCAGTAAGGCGAGGAAATGCACACCTGTGTATCAAATGAGGGACGGAAACTAAGGCAGCCGGAGCGGCTCACTATCAGAAGCAGAACCGTCGCAATAAGACAGAAGGCAATTGCGGGGATATCCTTGCCAGGCGCATGAAGATGTGTGAAGTAGAGGCGTCCACGTTTAAGTGACTGGGGATGCATACTTTATTAACTTCCTAGAAATAACATCGTGTATCCATCTACGCACCGCCCTGAGCAGAGTATATTCCCCTTCATTTGTCGGTAGAAAGCTGTTAAATCATGGATCACTGTTCAACTTGAACGCGTGTGTGGCAAATACCTGCCAGAGGCTGGTGAGTGGAATCAGAGTTACTAATCGAGTTCAGGAATGAACTAGGCATGCAAACACACTTTTCAACATTTACCGACGAGTAGCATCAGTAGTGAGTGGTCCAAGCTGGGATTGGCGGCCCTTCACCATCGTCCTTGAAGTCGGGGGACTCGGATTAAGGGATGAGACAGGTAAGTTTTGACGTTGCGCAGTCGATGTGATTATGTGAGTTTTGGTATACACCACTATTACACAGTCGATCCCAGTCTTGCAGCCTGCAACTTGGACTCCAATCAAATGGATAGAACGCCGATGCCGGACAATTTTTAGAAAGTGCACCTCCACTTCGACCGGAAGGAGCACCCGAAGTACGTCAAATCGGACGAACGACTTCAAGAGGTCGCCGGCTCTCGTCCACCACATCCATATGCTGAACCTCAACCCAGACGCCGATCTCTTTTTGAAGACAGGCACAGGAGACAGTGGAGGCTTCGTGAGAACTGACACGCCCTTACGCACCTGTCCAAAAACGCATCGTCACACATGGCTTTATCCCGTGCCGCCCCTGGTGATAAACAAAGTGTTTCGTTGCTTTGTCACTACGAAATCTGATCATGTCGGGCAAAACACTGGGACACCGAAAAAAAAATTTGATTTCAAGATGATGATTGAACAGATGGAGAAAGAGTATGAGTACCCGGACTTGAAACAGGCAATGCTGGACTTGCAGGAAAAGCAATTCAGTGACCCCATTCGCCGACCGTACGTCCCTTTTTTACCTAGCATGTCGGCGATAATCTTACAACTCCGAAGACCACTCGTGGCCGACCTTACACCACCGGAATGGGTGGGTTTCATTGGTCGTGGCGTTGACCTGAACAGGCGTCTTGCGTTCTAATCTTGGTATATGGCTCGTCTACTACTAGTTCGGAATATCAGTAAAGATTGCCATCATCAGAAAGTACATCGGGGGATCAGTAATGAGTAAGTGATTTAGTCATGGGTAAACGAAATGGTAACCGAAAGAACGATAACGGTAGATAATAAGAAAAAAAAACTCATAAAGATATCATTTGCACATACAATAACAGAGCATGTCGACAACTTCGAACGAACGAATAAAACTTGGAGACGATATACTATAGGTACAAGCAGAAGCGAGGGGAAAGTTCACCGGCATAGATCGTTAGTGACGGACACGTTTCCTACGAACCTGGAAGACAGGTTCAGATGGGGACTCAGCCACATCTGCATCCTCTCTCCCATCTTCGGATGGCTGGGCGTCATCCTCAGTCTCCTCATCCCCGTCTGTCCTCGCTCTTTTGCGAGGATTGTTCAGTGGCTTAGTTGGTGTTACAAAGCCATTTTGGGAAAGAACTGAAAGAGGATTTTCGGCCTCTGAGACCTGGGGAGGGGGAGCATTCTCACCGTCCGATAAAGAGGCATTGTGAGCAGAATTTTCCTCTTGATCAACCGCAAATTGTTCCTTCTGGGGGGACGAATTCTTAGAGTTACGAACGCGTCTCGGTCGAGGCTTGGGGGTGACAGGTTCGTCGTGTTCTGATTCTTGGCCGTTCTGTTCCACGTCCTCCAACGGATATTTGGGTCGAGATCTGGTGGCCCTCTGAGGGCGAGGTCTAGGACGAGGAGGTTCCGGAATAAGTGCGTCTGAGGCGGCGGCGGCGTCGTCCTCTGCAATCAGACGTTCCACTTCACTTTCCTCTCCATCTGTAGACCCTTCACCGGCCACTTTCTTTTTCTTCCGTCCTTTACCAGGAGCTAAAATATGAATTAGTTGGTCGTACGGGGTGGAAGAAGATGGAAACCTACGTTTATCTTTAGCCAGAACAGTCCCGAGGCGCTTTTCGTACGCTCTGTACGGTTCCCAAGCTTTTGTCGTACCAGGTTCAACTTTATGTTGAGCAAAAACTTGTTCGAGATGTGCTTTTCTGTTGGGTTGCGTGAGTATTATTGTCAAGTAAGCGACTGAAGTCTTGACACTCACATTTTCAAAGCGTCACGACTCTCTACTGAGCCAACAAGAGGAACAAGTGTCCGGAAAAATAGAAGGGAGTTCTTTAATGCTTTCTTGTCGTTGGTTGTTAGATGTGTCCCTAGCTGATCAGCAATCCATGTCAACAAGTTGGTCTGAACTTGAACAACGTATTGGGGATCCAGTCGGCGGACGATCGACAGCTGGCTTCCCCGAATAACAAAACACGTTGCTAGTGCTTTAGCAAGGGCAACAACATCTGTTTCATCTGGAGAACGGGTCGAAATGGCGATGTTGAAAGCCTGCCAAAGGAGTCCGTAAGCGGGGGACAGGTAAGTGCAAGAAGAAGCATACCTCTTTCATAGCTTGAGTTATCACAAGGACGACAGTATCCCCCTCTTCATTCATCATGCCTTCCTCCTTAAGCGCCTCAATGACAACCTTAACGCAGGCGTCGTATGCAGCACCTAGTCGGCCAAAATGCGCTAATAGAGTTGCACCGTGTCGTACGTGTATGGCTCCGCATCGTACTGCACGTAGGAAGGTGGAGATCACATCAACGAAGAGGTATTCCTGTTCAAGGCGCGATCGGGAAGTCTCGTCTGACAAAAACCGATCAGACGATAGGATCATTATCGAGGAACAACGACATACCCTCATCTGTCGTCTCTGGCAGCTTGAGCTTACGAGCCTTCTTCTTGACCTCCCCCGTGCCAGCCGCGTCACCGCCTTCGGTCTCGTCATCACCAGACTCATCTTCCTCCGCATCAGGTTCTTCAACCTCTTCCAAGGAGTCTGCATAACGCTCGACCTCTGCTTGTACATAACCGGCGCATCGCCACTGCACTTCATCATCCATGTTTAGAGCCACGGGGCCCGTTGAAAGTGGTAGAACCGTTCCATCTGCGGCAAATGTCTCAGAGGCGGCAAATAGAACATGCAAGTCCACCAGATTCTTGAATGCCTAGTGTGTGGGTGTCAAGGCACGTCCATTCAACGAAATCAGTTCCACTTACTGCCCTCTTGACAGCATCAGAAACGCCATTGCCGACTTCTTGCGTACCAACTGCAAATTCGGTCAACCTCTCCAAGAGGGTTTCGCGTTGACTTAAAAAGACTTCCTGATATTTCTGTTCTTCTGAAGTGGGCTCGAGGTTGGAAGTAAGCATTCTACTCTTCCACATCAGATGCAGCGTTAGGACTTGAAGTGCTTGCTCTATCATCTTTGGAAGGTATTTCGCATCACGGACGTCTGAGTAAAAAGCCAAAGTGAACTCACCTCCTCTTCGCCCCCAACACCCATATTTCCCCTCTCGGCGATTGCGTTTAATATATTCCAGACACTGTTTTGCTTTCCACCGTCACTTTCCTCTATCCAAGACGTCAGATCTCTACTTCCGATCAACATCCGTATTCTCAGAACCACCGAAGTCAGCGTTAACACTTCATCTTCGGTGAAATGGGTGAACTCGATGTCTCTATCACGTGTGGATGTGGAAGGATCGCCACCTTTTGAGGGTGACCCCGGTGGTGAAGGAACAGCGGTGACGGCATCTCGAAGGGAAGTGGCCAGTTCATCCTCCAGTTCCACAAGTTGTTCGGCGTTCGTGTTGGAAAGCGAAGTGTTGGAAATCAAATAAAGCATGGCATGGACAGCGGCAGTAAGGACGAAAGGGGATGTATGAGTCAGGAATTGCTTAGAGATGTCTGACCAAAGCGAAGCATAGGCCTGTGGGGAAGTTGGAGAAGCACGCTCTGCAAAAGACATTTCTGTCACTTACACTGGTCTCCCTCATTTCAAGATAGACCTCCAGATTCATCAGGGTAGGCAGTGTGAGGACGTCAGCAATCCTGTGTTCGTCCGTCTGATATTTCATGAATAGGGTTGGGAGCGCTTTAATTAGTGCTTGCGTT